TCCCCCCGGAGGCACCGCGGCCGCGGGGAGGGCCGTCCCTCCGGCGGCCCCGGGAGGCAGCGGGACACGCAGCGCTTTTGTCCGGGGCGGCTGAGGAAGGCCGGAGGAAAGTGAGTTTCTAATCCCGGCTCTCCTCTCTCGTGGCCTTGTGATGCTCAGCCTGGAAGACGGTCGCTCCTTAACACTGGCTGCATCTCCCTCTTCCTACAGACACCTCTCGAGATTTCAAGGTTGAGGCAGTGCTTTCTGTGGCTGTCGCTCCCAGGGCCGGGCAGATTTACCCTTCTTTCAGCGCTGCCAGGCGCCTCGGGGGGCAGCGAGGGGCACCTGGCCTGCTCCAAATGCCACAGCTTCACCCCTCTTAATCCCAGTTGTGGTGAGGGGTTCAGGTGTCTGCCTTCTCCAAGAGTCTTCTCCTTCCACCAGGGAGAAAGACTCTAACCCTGTTCCTGTCCCAAGTACCATTCAGGGGGCTCTCTCACTTTTGTCCCCTTCAAGGATGTGGGTACCACAAAGTCCTTTACACAATCCTGCCAAAAGACTACGGCTGCACCTCTGCCCTGGTCTAGTTAATCACAAGTTCCCTCTCCAGGCAGCAGAAGGTTAAAACACCCCTTTGACTCATTACAGAAGGAAAAGGGTGTATATTCCTGAGCCACTGAATATGGAGAGCTGATGCATGCACCAAATGTGTCTCTTGTTTCATTATTCTTTCAGAATCAGGATTAGTTTGCTTTTTTTTTTTTTGGGTAATTTAACATGTCAAACACAAGCTACTAAAAACAAAAGTTCCCCCAAAGGAAATTCCTCTTTCCCATCTTCTTCGTGTGCCATATACTCAGCAGCTACTTACTACTAAGCACATGCTTTGCCCCAGATCCTGACATGTGGGGGGATCGGGCGATCTGAGTGTGAAACAGTGCTCCCAAGTTTTCTTCTTTAAATAGTATTTGTTACAAAAATAACAGCACGTCCTGCTTTACACTCATGTTGCTGTTTTTAGCAACAGTATTGTGCATTATTCTGCAGAGGATATTTTGGTCACCAATATCAAAATATAATGTTTTAATTTCTAGTGATGCTCTCTGTGGACATCACCATCTTGTGGCCAACCGGACATTCGTACCGGGGTGCTAGTGGAGGAAGCTGTAAGAGCTGCTGGTGGGACCAACTGAAGGACGGGAGGGCAATGGCCTGGATGTGGGACTGGGGGAAAGGCACAAGGGCCTTAGAAATGTTCAAGGCTCAAAAAAGAGACTTGGCATCACTGCAGAATTTCTTTTATCACAAAATAGGAATGAAACATTAGTTAATTTAAGATTTCTCTATTTGGCTGGAATTTTACCAGTTGTGTTTCTGAACTCCCAGCAGGAGCCCTAGATACTGCAATGGAACGGAAATCTTATGTACGGAGAGTTCAACAATTCCTTTGGGAGATACACAGGGACACCACAAAGGAACAGGGAAGAAGTGCCTGAAAAACAGAGGGTTGCGTGAGGAATGTGTAGAGTGTTAGTCTCTTACACCATGATGCCTTTTGCAGAAACTCCTCAGCTCTTAAAATCCACACGTGCTTACACCCTTGGCCCGTTCTGTGTCTCTCTGCCTGCAACGCCCATAGACATTTCAGATTCTGTGAGAGATGCATATAATATTAGGCCTAATATAATGGACTTTTGAAGATGGTGCCAAGCACCACAACCAAAGATGAGAGGGGAATTGGCACTAACTGGGGATATTTATGCCATATCGGGTGATGCCTGGGGGTACCCAAACCACTCGCGCAAGACAATGAACAGCAGACACCCTCATACACTTTCAAAATCTGTTCTGTAACTTTCTTCATAGAAAAGGATAACAGTTTGCTGGTCTCAAATGGTTCCTATTTACTGTCATTTTAATAGTATATTTATTTAGTAGATGAGGAGGTAAAATGATGAGAAATTCAAAGAGTAAATTGTTCATTGTCCTATGAGGGCTTGATGAAAAGCTGATATACTCATTCCATTCTCGGAGGATTTAGAATCACTTTTATTTCCTTGGATCCTGAATGTGTCTCGTTGTCTATGGAACAGGTTAAAATCCAAGTACGTGCAGCCCTGGGGTTTGTTGTGTTGCACATTTACATGAACAGACCTCAGTCCTGCAGACAGATATTGTGATGCATTTCCTCCTAAGTCTCTGCCTTGTTATTTCTGGGAGGGTTTGAAAGGTGACACACAGAGGGCTTTTCCATTACTAATATCTAAAATTCTGTGAGTACATTTTAAAACCAAGCACTGCTTGCTTTTACATTTCCATAACAGAATTTGCTCTGAGCAATATCACTTCAGTCATTCATCCCAGAATTCTTTACATCAGGAATTGCAGCTATGAAGGGTACTGGAGCACAGGGGATGACCCCAGTTTGGCAACTAGATCTCAGTTCTTGAACCAGAAAAAGATTTTACTATATTCCATCCAGCTCCATTAATACTGCATTTTTACTATCTCCTTTTAAGCGTCTTATACCTTTTAAATTCAGGTGCTTCCAGTCTTTGCACACCACAGGAAAACAAGCAGAAATGCTGCTTATTGCTAGAGTTTGGCACAAGATCCTTAGGTCTGGAAAGGATTTATACAAATGTACACACATGCACGCACACACGCACACATAAATGCACATTTATATGTAAAGTACCATATTTCTTAGCTGTTTTTTAAATTATAGGAGTACAGAAACACACAGAAAAGTTTGAGGCTTCGGACGCTTTCTACGTATCTACTAAACAAACGTGCTTTTGGCCTTAAAGCTGAATTTTTGCAGGCCTTGCTCTATACTGTGCCATATCTTTTTGGAAGTTTTTGAAAAGCTAAACTTTGCAAAGCAGCTGCTGTAGGTGCTGCAAAACTGCTGTTTATAGAATGTGTATGCATTTTTACTTATGAGTACGTGCATTTTATGTATATTTTTTTAAAACAGTTTTTAATGCACGCCTTTCAGAATTTGTATGTTTTCAATAGGGCTGAAAACCTGTGATGGACAGCATGAATTTAAAGTAAGACTATGAAGATACACATGTCTATGAGATGTACTCAATTGTAGTGAACCAGCAATAATGGACAATTGAAACAAAGCTGTTTATGTGTTTAAGAAATTCACCAATAATTCACATTTTAAAATACATTTTTTTTCTCATTTTTTGCATGCAACATAGAACAGAGATAGTAGCGATTTTTCATTACTTTAAACATAAAACTTATAGGAAATTAAAAGGGAGTTGTAGATATTGGAACAGAAAATATAATTAATGACAGTTTGTCAGAGCTAATTTTCAGTTATATGCCTGATTTTTTTCGTGGTTTTAAGCTCAGTCCTTAACATTATTTTAAGAGTTTTTCTATGGTTTACTGTATGCACAAATAAATGAAAAACTACTTTTGGTCTATGAGATTATTTTGCTTGGCATTCAACATTTAATACTACTTGATAGTTACTGTAATGTCCCTTGCTCATAGACCTCCTTTACAGGCTTCATGTTTGATTTATGCAAATGTATCAATCAGTGTCATTCAGTGATCTCAAAAGGGGGTGACAATTGATCACTCAAACTAGTATTTGCAAATACTTTTAAAAAAAAAAAACAAACATATAAATAATTAAAAAGCTATTTTTCATTTGGCATGCCAGTGATACATTGCATTAACAGCTTTATTTCTTTAGCAATTCAAATTATAGTCATAATTTGTTGTCTGGTACCCCACAAACTTTATTTCTTTTATAGCGTTTCATTTAATGGTCTCTCTTGTACTCTACAGGGTTTAGTTTGATGGAGGAAATAATTATAATTTTAACTGGTCTGTTCCATCGAGATTTAAGTGGAGGGTATTGTACAGCTTTCTTTGTACGTTACAATGCGATTTATAGTGATACAAAGTACATTAAAACACTTTACAGAGTTGAGGACAGCTACTGTCCTACAAGCAGAGAGTGGAGGAGAGGCTGCGGGGATGGAGGGAAGAAAAAGGGAAACAGGCCTGACATTTGAAAAGCCATAAAGAGGCAGGTGAGGGTCCTTGCGGGCTGGTTATTGTAAGGAAAAAATAGGAGATGCAGAAATGGAGGGGAAGGCAAGTAGGATTTGTGCTAGTACAATACATGCCACGGTATGTTATTTTAATTGCTGCACTCAGATGAACTGCAAACAATGTTGGTCACGGAGCAATAGATTTACACGCCTTTTCCTCTTGTTGCCTTAAGCTTTAAGTTGCAACGAAAATGATGGCGACCACCTGGATAGAGACCAGCAATACCCCAGCAATCAGAAAACAAAGCGCATGAGGACGTCATTCAAACACCACCAGTTGCGGACAATGAAGTCATACTTTGCTATTAACCACAATCCTGATGCCAAGGACTTGAAACAGCTAGCTCAGAAAACTGGCCTGACCAAAAGAGTTCTTCAGGTAAGAAGAGCAGTCTTTTGTCTTGAAAAGTAAATAAAATACCAATTTTATATTTGAAATGCTGTGGATTTTACTGATCTTCTTTCCTGAAATTTTCATACCTTCTGTGAGACTTCAGTTAAGTCCTAGAAAGTATGAGAAAAGTTATTTCTTTTCAGTTTCCCGAAAATAGATTGCTTGGGTTCTGATTTTTGATGACAGTTGTGAAGGTTTGGGGCCCTGCTTGTTTTTCCTGTAGTTAGTTAAATCTGGTGCATGTTTTAGCTTCCAACCTGCTGTAAAAAAAAGTGGATTATTTTAGTTAGTGTGTTCAGTGTAAATAGAGAGCTCTTAATTTAGAAATTACTGTGAATGTTTACATTATAAGAAATTAATCAGCAGTCTGGATTCCTTTTATCAGAACAAGGAGGATATCTTTTCTTTCATAATTGAAGTGGACGTAAATTTGATTATTCAAAGATTAATTTTTTATTCATAGTTTAGTAACTTAGAATGAAAGAAAACGGCATTTTAAAAGTACTTTTTCCCTGAAAGCTGGATTTTTCTTGCTTCAAGGATATACACTCCGTTTGAACTATTGTGGGAAGCAAAGGTGAGACTATTGGTTGATTCAGCTCCATTTTAATTTATAGTTCTGATTTGACAAGTCAATTCTAATGGGCACTTATCCAAATAGCTATACCTAGAGATAAATTTGGGCATCTAGGAGTCCTGGCACTCCAGGACCTATTGCTGAAATTTTTAGACGGGTCTTAATTGCAGAAAAATGGTTTGTGGGCTTCATAGGGACAGGTAGGGCTCAGAGCTGGGCTCCGGGGAAAGCATCGTGGACAGCTCACACGAAGTCATAGGCAAGTCGAGGGCAGTAGACAAAAATACATTGAGAAAAACTGAATTCACTGGAGAGATTTTGGACCTTACAGTGTTAATGCCTAACAGAAGAGGGAATAAAGGTTTTTGTTGGCTTCCCAATAAAAACTACTAATGAAAAACTGTATGTAATTACTTCTCTTGGCTATGTCCTCCGTAGCTGGATTTTTTTGGTTTTATGAGGCTGATTTGCAGTAGTGGAACAAATTCCTCCAATATAACTGCTGCACATCCTAACACTTGATGTAATGTCTCTCATGGCACCTCTCCTTTATCCATGCACATGGGTGAAATAATTTACTGCATTTGTCTATCCTTATTTTGACACTTTTTCTTTATTTTACCCTCAAGTTTACACTTCAGTAATATCTATTCTGTTGATTACAGTGCACTCACACCTGAATTACCAGCGAAATTTCACATAGTGCATTAAGAAATGAGATCAGTGTCTAGAAAGTGTCTTTTTCTTGATCATCCTTCTGTTCCCTCTCCTCACTCCACACCAACTTTGACTTCCATCTCTCTCTTCTCTTTTCATCTAACAGGTCTTTCCTTCCATCTTTTTTCCACTCTTTTTCTTCCTTCATTTTCAGAATGTATTTCCTTGTCTCCAAAATTGGTCTCCACATTTCCATCACACTTCAATTTCTCTTTCAGTTTCTTCATTGCTTCTGTTTCCATCTTAAACATATCACATCTTGCAGTTTTAAGGTGCTTCGTGGTTCTTCTTTTTTTGTGGCAGTCCCTTACAATTCCACTAAACTTTTTTTCATTGTTTTTGTAATTGGTGTTTCACTTCTTTTACTTTCACAGTTAAATACTCCTTTATGTCTGGGCTCCTTTAGCTGAAGAGTGGTGGAAGGTAATAGTCGTTGTTGAGGATTGCACCCAGAGGATGATGCTGTTGGAGGCAATTCAAGAAAATGGCTTGGAGTGATACTTTGTCTAGTATCCCTTGAGTTTTCCTGTCTGTTACGAGCACTCTCTACTCCATACTCTTGGACTTTTTGTTTGAAAATTAATTTAGGCCATGAAAAAACAAACTTGGTGGTTTGTTGTTTTTTTTTTTAATTTTAGAACCTTTGTGCCCAATTGGCTTCTCCCTGACCTGTGAGAGGCAATTTTTCAAACACTGAAGTTCACCTATGTGAGTTTCAGGGTTGCTCTTTGCTGGGGAAAACTCTTCATGATGTTGGTTACTGAGATAGTGTCACTTGTTAATTGTTTTGAGCCAGAAAGGTTGGCATTCCGTCTGTGTCATTTATTGAACACGAAGTAATTCACTGACACTATTGATCTAAACAAGCATCATTAGTATTAGTTTGCCTTACGTACCGAAGGCGCACGGACTCCCAGATGTACGTGCACACTTGCCAGTAGTAAGAAATCTTCTGTAATCCCTATGTTGTTATTAGGCGTGTTTGTAAGCTGTTGAATTTTCTGTGTGTTCAGATCTCAGTTCAGCTGATGCAGGATTGTGGCTCTTTGTACATCATCAATAGAATATATTTTCATAGAAAATACAAGGCAGCAGATCAGGAGAAACAGATTTTCTTGTTTTGAAACCAGTGTACTTCCAAGGGATAGAGTTCCTAGTGATTTAGGAAACAGCTATAGTGCCCTTACTATATATAGAGTCCCACATAACATGTAATGAGGGTGCTTTGTTTGCAGATGAGCAGAGAATTTGACCATATTCTTAGTGATCTGTGACATCAGATTCAGAAGACCCGACTTCTGTCTTTGCTTTATATACAATTAGTCATCAACTACATATGTCCAGAAGTGGAATGGCGTGGAAATGTAACATACTGCTTCCTAAATTACATTTCCTTCAGTGGCTTTTTAATGCAGGCTATTTTCCGTAAGTAGCCACATTAGAATCACAGTAAACCTATTTATATTTTTAAGCCCTATTTTTATTTATTTTCATTCCAATTTAACTTTATATTTGCAATTTAATTCATATACTTCTTGTACCGCAGCTGGGGAACACCAGCCCGTTATTGTAAGCTATTATTCATAATCAAAGTGACCAGCTAATTGTGAGCTAACTAACTGGCATAAATATTCCTTTTTTAGGAACCAATCTTTCTTTCGGTGAGTTTAGAAAGGGAAGATGGAAGTAGATAGCCCTAAGAAGATATTGTTTGGTAGCTATAGGCATGTACCTCTTCTCTCCCCCGGAGTCTGGGATATGATTATCCACGGCAAAAGCAGTTCAGGAACATAAAGCGTTATTTTTCAGGGGGTGTCTTGTACACTGCTTACTCTTTCTTGAATCACTCCCCAGTGAAGTTGCTATGAAAAGCAACTTTAAACAAAGATTACTGCACGCATTTGGACTTTGCTAATTCAGTTTCCAGAGGTCAACAAACATGAAAATTTTCACAATCACACGTGGGTACCCTGCGCTACCTTTCAGTGAACATTGGCTTTAGGATAGCACACTGCAGACTCTTCACCGAGCCCCCATCCGTAAAATATCCCATAGTTCCCCTTTAGCTGTGTTTACTGGTCACAACAGAGTAATCAGAATGTGTGTGAAATGAGTGAACGTAGTTTGCTTTGTGGTGAAACTTCCTTTATATTTTTGTTTCTATACTTACTAGTTAGTAAAATTCAGTAAAGCTAAATGTCTCCAGGTAGCTGTGTGAATGAGCAAAATTGTGTTTAAAAATTTGTCTCTAGCACAAGCTATTCATACAACTAAATATAACAGTTGCAACAAGGGAGGTGTTACAAACAAGAAAATAAAGTTATCCAAGGTAATTAGATGATCTTATTCACTGCAGTATCCAAATCCTTTACAATATTTAGCACATTTATTTCCAGTACTTCCCAATCACATGGAGATGTTATTTTTTTTATATATTTTACTTGATGGAGACAGAGTTAGCTACACCGATCACTGAAGGGATAGTATAATATTTTAACCGCAGTAAATGTTGTTCTGCCTCGCTGCTGAGTTGTCCAGCTACAGGCATCCAACCCCAAACCAGAAAGTGGGAGCATCAGTGGTGGGTCTCACAGCTGCTGTTATTTTTCAGTGGGAGTTTTGGTCTGTGTTTTCCCCTTTGAGTTGAAATAGCTCAGCCTTACAATGATACAGTTGGACAGAAAAACAGTAAATACTTCCCAGTGATTCCGTTTATTCCTCAGTACTGAAGAGCAGACTCCTAATTGTGTAATTGATGTGAGAGAAGTCCTTCTGGAACAATTCTTTCAGTTACGTATGTTGGGGTTATTATTTCTTTACTTTACTGCCATACCCTACAGGTGCAGGGCCTGAATTGCCACTGTGAGCGTGCAGCGCTCCTGCCCTTATGCCTGGGCAGCCCCGGCCCGTGCTTACACGCCACTTTGCACAGCTATGAGTAACAGCACGGGACAGTAGAGAAGCGCGCCCACATTCCAACTCAGAAAACAATAGTTTTAATCATTTCACTACTCTGCAACATGAAGTCTTTGCTGAATATTTTCAAATCTTAAGTGCACACCAGAATGTCACTATTGCGATAGTTATTTTATGTTACCACTTTCTATCATAAGACAAGGCATTTTCAGAATTGCAGTTAACATATATTTAGATGCCTGTTCAGTAATAACATGAGTATGTATTATTGGACAATTTTAAAGAGCTTTATAACCATTAGCTGGTTAACCTTGACAGTATCTCGGTGAGGAAGAGAGTAATTATTATCTCTATTTTTGAATATTACTTACAAGTTTATGGAATATTTTCTATGGCTAACATGAATTACCAGTATTAAAGAGAGAGTGAACCATCTTATATGTGCGGCTCCTGAAAGCAGCATGAATAGTCATTGGTAAGGGCATCTGAGCATAGGTTTTCATATTTAATGGCAGATAAAGGGGCATACATAAACACCAATAATCTTGCTCACTTTTCTGTACATACTACATGTTTCAAATCATAAACAGAAGCAATACTGTAGAGTCTCTCACCCTACTAAGGTTAAGGAGCAGTTGGACTTTTAGAAACAATGTAAATGAACAAAATAGTTATGGTGCCTCCTACAGTTTTACACGCTTTAAGCAAGAAAATGTTTTTGTGACTAGGAATGGAAATGTTACTCATATTTGGGGCTACTGCATATATAAATAGGTATATTTTTAATGAACATAAGTGTGAAATAACGCAGAACTATGTGTACATGCAACTGGACTAGTAGTTTTGTCTGTTCTGTTTCAATTATTACATAACCATGGTACACATATATATCAACAGAGGCCATCTCCAAACTTCCCTTTCGCCTTCATATGTATTATCCTTTTTACAATTGCTAGGAGGTATATTAAAAAAATCAAAACCAAATTACTTTGTGGGACAAATATGAATTATCTCTTACTGAAAGGCAAAAAATCCCGTAAATGTTCAAATTGCTGGTTTTTACCATTCCTAACTAGTTGGCATTTGAGAGTTTGCAGCTTGAATGACCAGAATGAAGTGATTTGCTTCACTTGCATCCCCTGCACACGAGGCTCCTCACCTTGCTTGGAACCACGCACACACACTCCCGCGCCTCCCTTCCTGCATGGCTCTGAATGGTCAGAGGAGAGGACACTGGTTGTGAATGTGTCAGGCAAAAATACCGCATTTGGTTTTGCCTGGTTTTGACCACATCGCTGTCCTGGAACAGATTTACCACTATAATGGACTATGTTATAAAATCACACGTGTATTTTTACCGTTGCTAGTTTAGGAGAAGGTTTTTATTTTCTTGTCATAAATGAAACTGATAAATAGCCTTTAAACTAAGTGCTTTAACAAAGGGAACGCCAACATAAACTGTTTTAAAATACTGAGCTTTCAGAAACAAGGACCTGTAGGGATGTGATTTATGCATGGCCCATGAACGCAGCTCCTATGGCCGCTGGTAGGATTTGTGCCTGAAGACTATTTTGTTGTGGCATTCCCTGGAGAGAGTGTGAGACAGAGGGTGTGCACCTTAAAGACCCTTGGCTCGGGGAGAAAGCTTTCCAGAGAAAAAGTCAGAGCGCTCAGTAGCGGGAATTTGGGGCTGGACCATCCACAGATGAGAAGAAAATCAGTCAGAGGATAAAAACAGCTGAGACACGTTCATCAGTTCTAACTGTGGCTGGCAAGTGGAGAGTGCAAAGCCAACGCCGTACAGGACTGCTCGTATTTATGTATTGCTCCTCTGGTAGTGGGCTGGTTTAAAGCGGATCCTACAGCAGGGGCCACGCTGTTTCAGAGGCAGAGGTCACAATTTCTCTACAGGCTGGTGTGGCCTCGTGAGCTCCACACACTCAGTTTCCGTGTATGGGCCACAGAAGAGAAATCTGAGGGAGATACTGTATGGCTGTGCAGGTCCTTTCTCCGCCAGATACAGAGATGACGAGGCTCATTGCACCTGGAATGGGAAGACTCAGTCCTATTCCTTATAGCAGGTCAACGTGGGGACAGTAGGATCAGGACTGAGTCCGTTGTAAAGAATGTAACCATGACAGAAGACCTTCTGGTAAATAAGCACAGTGAAATTTCAGCTAGTTTGTAGCAGTAAAATTAGCTGGTATCAACATACACCAGGTTGAACAGGGTATTTAACAACATTTTCAACTTTAGTCAAGGTAATATGCTGTACCTAGGTTTCATGCAAGTTTCACAAATACATTTTATTTTACCTATTTTCAAATAGGTCAGAAAAATATTTTATCTTTAAACAAATCGTGCAGACAGTGGAGAGCATTGTTAACTTAGATGTAAACACTGAAATTTAACTGAGAAAGATGAAGCCTTAGCTTTTGTCCTTCGTTCATAGATAATAATTAATGCAAGAAGTAGCAATCTTGGAAAAATTTCTGTATGTGGATATAATTTCTACTGAAATGACAGTATTTAATGCAAAGTGAGTCTTTAATACCATTCAAGCCGCTTTTCCCAACATCATTCCAGTACTGAAAACAGTTGGAAAAGGAGACTGGCATAGGCCAAGGGAGCTGAAGAATTTGAGACAGAAGAGAAAGAGAAAAGTAAGAGAGAGGGACATTCCTTTTAGAAAAGCGAGCACACTGCTGACAGTGGGACACGGGGACGTTCCTGGGAGAGCTCTCAGGGCCCGCGGAAAGGCAGGGCACTGTGGTCTGTGTCACCTCTGCTTGCGATGGGACATGGACTTGAGATATGAGGGTGCCGAAACTGGTTATTTTATATTCGTCAGATGCTTGATGTCTGCCTCATCCAGACAAATACTTCTGGGATTGAGGGCAATCGAGGACTCACGCAGGCTGCCAAATATCTAAGCATCTTTATGTATAGCCTGCACAGAAAGACTCCCGTCCTCCATCCTTAGCCCACTCCTGTCCCAGACAGACTGTTTATACCGGAGTGCAGCAGAGGCAGAGAGGAATGCTTTGCAGGCGTGCAGAGGACACTTCTCATGACCGGGGCGACTTTTCTAACATGCTACCAGTAAAAACGTCTTCTACAATTCAAGTGTTGGTGAATTTGTGATTATGCTTTTGCTTTTTTAAACACTGCAGCTCTTTAAATGCTACCCTGTTATATTAAACTATTTCAGGTTTGGTTTCAAAACGCTCGAGCCAAATTCAGACGGAACCTCTTACGTCAAGAAAACACAGGGGTGGATAAGACTTCAGACTCAACACTCCAAGCAGGGACCCCATCAGGTCCTGCCTCAGAAATATCCAATGCCTCCATGAGCCCATCCAGCACTCCCACTACTTTAACGGACTTGACTAATCCTACTATGCCTACTGTGACATCTGTCTTGACGTCAGTGCCCGGAAGTCTTGAGGTTCATGAATCTCGAAGTCCTTCACAGACAACTCTTACAAATCTTTTCTGATGACTCTTTCTTAATAATTTCTTTAAAAAAGAAATTATTCTTAGTTGAAATTCCAAGTGTATTTTAATAGAGGCTTTGAGCAACCGACTAACCACAATTAGGATCTCTCCTAAAAAACAGAAGGAAATGTAGTGTTTTGGTATGACGGAGTATGGACTGAAGAATAACTTGGAAGATCTATTGCAACACAACATTTGTGTAACTGTACAGTTTTGTGGACTGAGCAAGGGAAACAGCAATTAATTTAAGTTGGCTAAAGCTTCTGTATTTTCAAAGACTGCCATGTGCCTTATATACTGTTTTATCTACATACTTTGGATTCCATGTCCACTTCTCTCTTTTTCTCTCTGTATATTTATGACCAGGGCAAAAATGTTAAGAGTTTGTTACTTTGAATAGTCCTAAGCCTTTCATTGGTTGCTTTGTTGTTTTAGAATTTTAAGGTCGAAGTCTGTTCGAATACCAGAATTTGTAAAATCTAACCAGTAATAAAACCACTTATGGAAACTACTTGGTAATGGCTGCAGTTACATTTAACATTAGTGTCACAATCAAGATAGGCTGATTGTATTTAAAAGGATTAGAAAACTGCACTTCAAACGCAGTATCTGCCTAGGATAATCTCTAAATACGATGTATACATTCCTCCTGTTCCTGAAGTACATATGGGTGAGAACTCCAGCTTGTACAACCGTCTAGGTATCTTCATTATAGAGAAATAAACAACTGTTAGTTGCAGGTAGAAGTTATCAGATATTGTTAAAATTCAAACAGAAAAACTATACTTAATTTTGCTGTGTGAAAGAAACTTGACTTCAGCTAGCATTTATGAAAACAACCTTGCTTTTGTGCAAGAGATGGCTTGTCCCATTGCACGGAGGAGGCAAGTGGGGTACCCGATAGCTGTGTGGCCGCAGTCGGTCCATTTCAGAGGTGGGCACTGGGTAACATTTTCCCTAGGCAAAAGACAGAAGTATTTCAGGTTATTTTACAACACTGGTGGGCAAAGTTGAGGCAAAATTATGTGTTATGAAGTCACAGCCTTACATTTTTTGTAATGCTTTGAAGGAATAAAAAGCCAAGGAAGACTATGATATTATCGATACTAATACATGGCTATTCCTTTAATGATTCCGGACCTTTCAATACAATTTAATTCCTTCTCCCCCCCAAAATCCGTGCAGGATATAACTCACATTTTGAGGTTTTTTCCTATTGTTTTTAAAGATGCTTTTCGGTAATTAAAGAAATACCTCAGCAAAGTTTAAGTATGTATAAGAACGAGTATACACTATACTGTTTGCCCGGTAGTTTTATAGATTTTGAGTGGTACATAAGATGCGTTTGGTTGTTCCTTTGCAAACCTGTTACGATCAGTTTATTTCAGTCAAACGTTAGGTTGTATGTGGCTAGCTCTCTAAAACTAACCTGTCATTCCTGTTCGATCAAAATTGCTAAAAGATTATTCCAAATAAACAACAAGATAGGTGCCAAGATTCATGTTCTTTGCCCTTTTCCGCACACTGGAAGATGATTTAGTAGGCCAGACTCTTTGGTAACAATGTTTTGGTTTTAAAAGTGCTACATTTATTCAGCTTTCTCAGCTGAAAATTTGCCATTCTTTTTCAAGCCAAATTCCTATCGAGATCAGTGAGAGATCTCAGAGCATGAGGACTGTGGGATAGAAATGCTGACATAATTAGGTCATTTATTAACCTTTTTTACAGTTCAGCTTAAAAAGCCCCACAGGTGAGTTATCTGAAAAGCAAGAGAGTCCTAAAAAATCATAACAAGCTAAAATCTGTGAAAGGGGTTACGTTCTGGTCACTAAAACCAGTAGACCAGCATAGTTCATTGAGTTTATGCACAATGCTGAAACATTAAAAAAGATAATTTGGGTTGAATTAATAACCGTTACAAGTTTGTCCAAGACATTTTTCCTCATAATATACATGTCTTACAAGGAAATTGTGCTGGTTAGTGGACTGTAAAACAGAACGTATCCGCCTTTCAAAGATATTCGGACACAGAGATTCTGCTGTATGTAATGTTTTGTTCATTGTCAATTACATTGGAGATTTTTTTTTTTTTTTTACATGCTTAGCTGGATCTTTTCTTAATTTAAAAGGCAATGTTGGTCCACTGTTAAATGGATACAGCCCATAATTTAAACCCTGTGTATTAACCTGTAAGCAGTTTTAAAAAACTGAATCCTGAATTCTTAAGTGTTACAGCAAATGTAGCCGATAACAATTCAAATTGTTATCAGCAGTGCTGTTATTTGTGATCTTGTATTTGAACTACCTGAATCCACATGTGGAAATACCTTTCAAATCAATTCTCAATATTGCCTTTTCAAGTAACTGACATTTATGAAGGGGAATACTTTCATGTTAATCTTATCTAAAACCTATAAGAGACAATTAGAGAAATTGTCTGGTTTAATCAAATCAGGGATTTTGCATATAAATAAGAGACAATATTCTATGTAGGGTCTTTATGTAGGTGCATTAGGATTCACTCACTGGCTCCAATGACCTATGTTGTCCCCATGATTGTTTCAATCCTGTGGTATTGTTTGGTTGTTTAGAGCTTGTTGGTTTTGAATGCTGTACATTTTTTTACTACTGCAATCCTAATGTTTCTTCACATACTTGTACAGTTCCACATTTGATGTATTAGTCTGAAATTCTGTTAAAAACATGAACAAAAATGGAAATGATATTTCTTTGGAAGTGTATTTTTACTGTATATCTAATTTGAACTAGTTGAACATACTTCTTTACATTTTGCATGATAGGTGTGTAGTTCATTTTTTAAATATGAGAGAGACTTAAGAGTAACTTAGAACGAGAATATAATGAAACCTATACGAATATGGAAAATACATACAATGATTTGCTACTTTTTGACTCAAGAAACTTTTTGAAATACATTTTACCTAGTTTATTTAAGATAATGCAGATATTTTGTCTTTCAGTTCATACATAATACAGAATATAAAAAGGGATTACACATTAGAAAAACTTTCAAGTCACCTTGGTACTCGACAGCACACTGGATTGTTTTTGTCAAGCAAATAGAAAGGACATTTGATCTTAAGAATGCTGAATAAATGTATTTTGATCTACAGTAGAGAGGGACACCATTACTGTAAGTGATATGTCATCACAACTTAAAAATTATTGACACTATTAATTGCTACATTTCATAAAGCTTATTCTTCATTCAAATTATCTAAATTTGGGAAGAGAAGACTACAGATCGTTATACTAACGAAGAAGCTGAATGCCTGCCCTGGAAGCAGAAGGCAATTTATCAAATCCACTATGGATGGAGACAGAAAGCCAGGACTAATTACACAACTCTCTCGCTGTTTTTCAAAATGAAATTTGATGTGAGTTACCATTAGAAAGGGTCATAACATCGAACGCAGTGTGAAGAGATAAGCCCAGACATTTTAAGAATTACTTTTTCTCCCTTTTCTTTCCATCTTTTTAAGCCCGGTTCTTCTCCCGGACATATCATGAACTGCTGGTGACGGGCTGGGTTTACTCTGATGAAGGGCAGAGCCTCTCCCTCTCCCACAGCTTCTGCCCTCCAGCTCACCTGCAGTCCCCGTCCTGACACTGCCAAACGCGGCTCAGTTACCTTCTGCAGTTTGGCTGTTCGCAGCTTCTACAATGGGAATCCTCCAACCGGCTACGCGCTTCCGTGGAGCTTTTTTCCTACCTCTGCAGGAATTTATCCCTTCTGAATAAGGAGAATTTAAACCATTCCTGGTAGCAATTAATTTATCTGTAGCTAAAATAATGATCTGTAAGATGAACAGCCTATGCATTTCTGAGACCACTCTGAAAAGCATTTGAAAGGCTACAGGTGAAATCTAAGTGCAACACGTCCACTTCACATTAGCAGCCAGGGTCTGGCCGGGGGTGACATGCTCGTGCAGCCACGTTCTGGCGCATACAGTCACGCGGTTGCCAGCTGTCCGCATTTCTGCTTTCCAGGGTTATAATATTGCACCGCCCTCTCCAGACCTTTTGGTCTTGCCCTGGGACTGAGTTGATGAGAACTCTGCTTAATCCCATGCTTCAAACACATTTGCCTGAGTCTGCAGTATCTTTCTTAAAAAATTAAGTATAGCAAACCACAAACATCGTTTGCACTTGTCGTCCCATTATTGCCTTTAAGGTCTGTGGTACGCTATGTCGCTACCCACGTAGGCAGCAGGGGCTATGATGTGGATCGTGGTCTGTTCTCATTCTAATTAAAGAGAAGCAAAGGAATAAATATTAGATTGTTGATCTACAGGGAATAAAAATGTGTTTTAAGAGTGTCTTAGGGCTGGCAAATTACTATAAAGAGGGAATAAAGGGGGTGTATTTTTGACGCATGGGAAGCTGCTGTGGATGTGAAGACAAGCAGCAGAGCAGCCGGACTCGGAGCGCTCGGCTGGTCACTCCCGTAAGTGGAGAGACGGTCTTTAGGCCATGGCAGGCTTTAGCTGGGATGCTTAAAGTGATGTGGAAAGTGAAGAACCAAATTTGACTCTTTCATAACATTAGGCGAGTTCTCAGTAATTTGCCTGAAAAATCCCTGAGGGAAAGATGGCCACACCGCACCGCAGAGCGATGCCTCCCACAAGCAAATATGCTGCTAAGGAAGCGTTTATCCCCATGTTTGGTGGCACAGAGCTGCTCTGAGGGTGTCTTCACAGTCTGCATGTGCTTGGTGTGCTGGACTTCCCTGAAAATGGTCAATAAGCAAGCTGAACTCCTGGGGATCGGCAGAGAAACGAATAACCTGTATTTGCAATTAACTGTAACAATTTATAATTGTAATCAATATTCATGTCTCATTTTGCTAACATTTCTGATGCTGTAAGCTATGTACAAAGTCTTTCAGCATTTGGGGTGTTACAGAATCATTTTTAGCTAGCTTTGGCTTTGTGCCATGAACAGGAGTAAGTACTGAGTTGCCTCAGCCATCATCTATTACCATTCCCAGTTAAAAAAGCATCAGCTGTGAAATGGCAGATATCGAAAAGCCCGAACCTTCAGCTGGGGTTAGCTGCACTTTTGATTGTTTTATAGGGAGCTTTCACTCTCTGCGTGATGTGCAGTCAAGATAAGACTCGCGCTGTCACAGAGCTGTGTCCGGGTTTTGTCACGGGAATCGGCTCCGGCCAGCGGTGGCGGTGAGCAGACGCGCCAAGTGAACGAACTCCAGCACACCAATTTTCCTCGTAGGGGGAGAGGGAACCCAGCCTCAAAAATTATTTCCACGGAAGCAGCAGATACTGCCAGGCCTAACAGATAAAATTTATATGACTACAATTTCTGCTACAATCATAGTCTCCCCCCTAACCTTTTATACTAATTAAACATGTGTTGCTTCTCACCATTCAGCCCGGTAAAGAGAGAGTTGTGCTGGATCAGGGCCATGAATTGCAGTTATCAGTTTCACAATTTTTTTTTCAAG